TCTCCTTCGCCTCCTAGGGCCATGTCTTCTCACCAAAGTTCCTTGGAGCTTTCAGCTCCGCTACCATGCGAAAGTACTCCAGTACAGATTGAGCACCAAACTACCCTAAAGTAATTCGTGCACAAGCTCACTCAACAAAGCCACCGAAGTAACCCTGAAAGTTCAGATGCGCCTTTCTCTCTGCGAGGGCAAAGTGTTTGAGCCACCAAAGTGGCAAGGTCGTGGGAAAAGTAAGACGTGGTATTTCAACACCATTGCATCCGACAGTCCATCCATCCATCCATCTCAGATACATACCATGATATATTGGTATGTGTCTGTCCGAACGGATGGATGAACGGTTGGATGCAATGGGTGTAATGGATGCAATAATAGTGGATGTAAAAACGGATGCAATGGATGTAATGAATCTAGTGGATGTAATGGATGTAACGGATGTCATGGATGTCATGGTTGGATGGATGGATGGATGGATGCATGGATGCATGGACAAATAAATGTATGGATCGATGGAAGGATGGATGGACGGACGGAGGGCAGATGGGTAATGTATGTGTCGTATGCAGACATGTTTCCATGCATATGCGCATGCATCCATCTCGCACTGCAGATATGGGTCCGAGGTATGACTGGCTGCTGCAATTTGAAGATGGCAAGCCAGCTATGGGGTGGGAGAACTACTTGTCGTACCTGGTGACCTCCCGATGCTTTCGCTCCAACTCTTCAAGTCAAGAGTTTCAGGAAGCCTCAAGCAACGTGGGTTCCACCTTGCATGGATGGGTGCTAGTTCTTGCAGGAGGGCTTCACTCCAGAGACCATGCCTTAAACTGGTACCACTCGTCGGTGGAGGTATTTCCCGTCTTGCTGGTTGGCTTCACGGTCTTTCAGCAACAGCAGGTCGGATCCTTTTTTCAGTTTTAGCTGCGCCTTCCCTCTCTGCATGGCCTCCTCCGGAGGCTCAAGCCGCTCGCCCAAAGACTGGCAACGAGGAGGATCCCCAGAACCTGGTGCTGCAGGCCCCCCGAAATGCACACTGCTCTACGCTTATGAATGCAACACATATAGTGAACGGCATCGATAGCACCGAGCGTGCATGTAAGATCACGCACGTGCCTCCACATTGACTTCTTATCGTTTGGGAGCCATCCTTCGGATTCAGGTGCTGCCGTGGATCTCTGTTTACTTCATCGGGAGCTTATCCCTTCAGCTTCCGCAGGCAGTCTGAAGGGCATTGACTGACGTCCGCACGGGTGTGCAGAATCTTTTTGTGCATATGTTGTTGGCAGGCCGTGTCGGTGTACTACTCCATGAACACCGCCTTGTCAGTGCTGCAGACCGCTGTCGTGATCGCCTCAACTAGACAGAGGGTTTCCATGCCTCGCACATTGTCGCAGCGTATTCTCAGGTGAAGTTCGGATTGCGGCAGGAGATCCCCGGCTATGAGGAATTCGAAAGGAGCACTCGAGCGCTTTAATGAAGCTCCAGATCCTGCGCCGAGTGACCTTGCAACGCCACCCTTGCGGGCGCTGGGGGAGGACTGGAAAGTTTCCGGATGGCACTTTCGAGAATATGGTGAGGTTCAGCGCTTCATGTCTTCGCTCCTTGGAAGGTTTGCGTCCGGCGCTCCTGTTGTTAAAGCCTCTTGGCAGGTCCCAAACACCGCCACCAAAGACACTCCACGAGGCCATTCCTTGGACGGTCTGAATTCGACGTAGACTCTACGACGTTACCACCATCACCGGTTCCGTCATCTTTGCGGCCAGTGTTCCTGGGAGCCTCTAGTCAACGCGGGGCCGATGCCATTGACCTGCCAGCCTTATCTTACACTTAATCGTCACTAAACCTGGGTTGAACAGGCTGCGCTGAGAGGAGAGGTGGGCCACCCAGACTTGAAACCTTCCCGGTGTCAAACATGGCGAGATCGCCACCAGCCCCAAGTGTCTTCAGGTAAAGTTCATAGAAGAGATGCTGGCAGATGAGAGTCTCGGCGTTCAGTCCTGCCCTGCACCATGTCACCATGTACCATCCTGTACCTGGGGTCAAGCCATGCCTCCCGTTGGACATTCTGCTGACAAGGAGCCTAGACATCAATAAGTGGGACGAGAAGAAGATTTCGCAGACAGCTCAGCCTGCAGGCTGTCGAGCCTACTCTTGATCAGCTCTGCCTGCAGGCCTTTGGGCTACGCCGTTGCTTGCCAGGGCCCTGGGAACCGTTAGGGAACAGATATGGGCCTCCCGAACTTCGACAAGCGTAAGCAGACTCAGGAGGCTTTTTTGCGAGTATTTGGTGGAGTTCGGCAGCAGATTCCCTAGCTGGCCTGGGCTGCCAGGTGGCCACCTCGACGCCGTGAAGGTGCTTTTGAAGAGAGGCGCGGTGCATGCGACGGAGTTCAGCCATGCTGGGCCGAGCTACCAAGATGCTTGTCCAAAGGTGCTGACGTGACGATGAAAGACGGTCAGGTACCGACTCATGTAGGGATTTAGTCAGACTCCGGTAGCCGTTTTGAACGAAGCTGCGAAGAAGATGCCTACAACTCTGAGCTGGTAGCTGCAGGATAATACAATGCTGCACTACGCCGCCGGTTATGGCCACATGGCTGTCCTTGAGGAGGGGGAACTCCATGTCGCTTGCCAAAAAGTCCAAAAATTAGCTCTTGGCTAATCTTAGCTCACTCAACAGCTGGACCCGCTTCTGCAGGAGTTGCTCGAGGCGTCTGACAAGGTTTGGAAGGACAACGACTGGTGCACATTCAGAAACAGCCAGGTGCTCACCGCTTATCAGCCTTGGAGGAAGGCCTGGATGCCCCTGAGCTAGTCACAGATCTCGGACACCAAGGCAAAGGCCAGAGCGTCGTCGACGCTGCGCGTGTGAACAGGAAGGGCCAGGCTGGAGAATGGAAGAATGTCCGTGCATCGAAGTGAGCGGCAAACGACCGAGTCTGGGTGTCCTATCGTCCCCTTTTGTCCTCCGTTTTCTTTCTGGCTTGCACTCCCAGACGTGCATTGTACGAACACGGCCGTTGCTTGTGAGAAGGCAAGACGCCCGTGATGGCCAAACGACTTGAACATAGCTTCAGTGATTGCTTTGCTCCAGTTTCCTCAACGTCTAAGTCAGGTTGTGGACTTCCTTTGTGAGCGCCTGGGCGTCGAAGCCCCTGCCCGGACCCTGGTCATCAGGACAACCAAATACCTCCGACATTTTCAGCCACCCCAATCTAAGGAAGTGAAGGCGCCAATCGCCGTGACGGCGAGTGGCAGCCTGAGGTTTGTCAAGTCTCCATTCATCTCCTATAGCCCAGCCGCTTTCAGCGAGTTTGCATGCATATCAACTCTGGAGATGGATCGCCCTATCCCTGACAGAAGCGGCTCGAAAATGACAAAGTTGATTTCTGACTCCTTTGGCGGAGGTCCGGAAGCCGGCAAAGAGTCGTCGGAAGCCGTCCGACGCCCGGTCCGGGGATCGGACGCCGACCGATATGCATTGCATGCAGTTTTTCGTGCACAAATCTTCGTGAAGCATGCTTGCATGCTTGGATGCATACATCCATCCGTCCGTCCGTGCACACATACATACATACATACATACATACATACATACATACATACAGACACACGTAAATACATGTGGTATAATTTATACCGGCATAATCACACATACGCAATCATGTGATTCAAACTCTTTGGCCTATGCGCCCCATACGAGGCAGAGAAGGGATTCGAAGGGCAGCTTCTCCAAGGCAACACTATATCCTTCGTTTTATCCATTGTTTGCTGCTAAGCGCTATGTGCTGCTATATTGTACTTTGCCACCCCCAATGTGTCGCTTCCTAGATAGCTCTGTCATTCTCTGGGCATCCTGGAGCTGTAGGCTCCGGAATTGTTCGTTCCGAGTGTGCGGAAGATTGCGGAAGATGTTCACATGCTTGGCCTCTGTGAGCCACTGGTACGGTCGTAAGTGCACTCTAAAGTAACACCCACAGACATTTTTCCAAGGTCATCCCGATCTGCATCATCCTTGCCCTAATTTTTTTTTGAAGCACCCCTACATACTCGCCGGTGCCTCCTTCAAGGATCGGGCCCGAGCAGCACTTCTTGCTGCTGCCGGGGGTAAGGCCGGACGTGGGATGCGAGTCAGATGCACATTCTCTGAATAGCTTCGTCTCTATCGGCCTTCTTTCTTTCTGGCACACTCCCTCTCCCTGAGCATATGTATATTGCATATGGACAAAAGTTTGTGCAAGTGCTTGGATACCTGAACATAGTGATGCAAGTATCCGTTATCTAGTCGTGCCCGACATGTGTTTTTGCATGCGCTCTCTGTGTGTGTGTGTGTGTAACATAATTACGTTTGTATGTAAGTACGTAGATCTGTACGTATGCATGCATGCATGTACTTGTGTACGAATGTAGTTATGTACGTATGTGTGTGCATGTATGTACGTATGCACGTATGTATTTTATGTATGTATTTTATGTATGTATGTATGTATGTATGTATGTATGTGTGTGTGTGTGTGTATGTATGTATGTATTTATGTATGTACGTACGTACGTATGTATGTATGTACTTATGTA